AATCTATTTCAGAAAAAATCATATACACTCATCTGAATGTCTAGGCTGCTTTTTTTTAATACACCAAGCTTGAACAAGAACAATAACACCATCATCTGCAAACAAGCAAACCCTTTTCCTTACAAGTGTTTCCTTCATTTACATGATGAAGAAGTATGGAATGCTGTGGAACTGATTATCAATTTCGTCTATAGGCTGGGAAAGATGAATCAGAAATAAGCCATAGAATATATGCCTGCCTGTAGAGCTAGAGCAAGGCCACATCAACATGGTATGAAAATATGAGTATGCATGGAGATAATAAGTAGGAAATGTGTTTTGTTTTCTTCATTTAAATAGGCTATACACATATAGTAGAGATTTGGGGTATGCATCTTGGTAACCCCCCCCCCAACCTAACTACTTGTGAAGACGACTGTTTGATGCATGGGGGGAAGCCCTGTCTTCTGTTATATGCAATTTGAATTACCCAGGTAAAAGAAATCAAAGCTCATAATACCCTAGGTTAAACCGGTAAACATCTTTTAATTATTAAGTATTCCTAACTTTGAATGCTTTAAAATGACAGAGAAGAAAACCGATAAATATAAGAGAAATGGAGGAATATCGAGAGAAAAGAAAAAGCTCTCTCTCATTTATTCAAGAAATAATACTTTGCAAGAGTCCCCGGGGCAAGTAGCTCAAGAGTCACGGCGGCTTCGTTGTGGCCAACCAATGCATCCAATTAAGCAACACCAGGAAAGTAGGGACCCGGCTGTAAATGTGGCCGGACAGTTGAAACCGAATAACCTCGCTAATAGGGGCTATTGTTCAGCGTGGAAGTTCCCATTTTCCAATCAGGAAAATACAGCCCTCTCTCAGCTCTAGCCGACTGATCCCTTCCCACCTACGGCTCAACAATCTGCCACCAGCGAGGGGCTTTTATTATGTCCCTTCCCAGGAAATGTCAGGCAAGTTCTTAAGTAAAACCACCCGAAAGCAGGAATGGGCCGTGGAGGGGGCCCTCAAGAATCCACAGGTCCACGCCTGGCAAGCTTTCTTTTCAACAGGAAAGGAACTTTGACCACAGAATTCCCAACAGCCCCCACCTACCCCCACCGGGTTCAGCCCTCTCCTCCGGCGGCCGCCGGCGGCGCTCGCCTGGCTTCACGCTTTATCTAGTAGCCCGCGCGTTTCTGCGCCAGGTGCCCGCACTGGCGAGAGGGCGAGGCTGTCCCTTCTCATCTTGCCTGCCAGGGTCGCGCCGCTGGCACTGCTCTCGCTAGCTCGCGGAGGACACCCGCGGGTCGGCTAGCAGAGCTGGAGACTAGCCGCCAACTCTCGGGCAACCTAGACGCCAGCAGCGGTCTTAATCCGTACCCTGCAGAGGTACGCGCTGGGTTCCCGTGCCTTCTCCCACCAGGCTTTCCCTGGTCTTCCATCCTCCCCCGCCCCTCCCGCCCCTTTCCCCTTCTTAGACCCTGTATATGTAGACCATACTTGTATTTAAAGCTATATTTATTGTAAATGCGTTGCCGAACAGTTGAAAGCCTGGGTAACTTTGATATTTTCAACTATAAATCTCTATTTGTATTTAGTGGTTACAAATGGCTTTATTAACTTGTCTCGGAATCTGCACATTTTAATCTATTAACCAAAAAGCAGAGGCATATCTCACTCCCCACTCTCCGGAAAGAGAATGCAGAGATCAAAACCTCTGATTTGCTTTTAGGATCTTGTTTCTTTGGTCGTGAGAGATTCCCAGCATCAAACTGGGTCTTCAACCCCGCCTGCAAAAAGAAACACACACACACACACACACACACACACACACACACACACACACACACACCCCCAAAACCAGCATAACCAACAAAAAAACCTCTCTTTCTCTGCTCCATCTAAAGAGATGGTGATGTATACTGTAGCTGCAAGGTGTTAGATATACTTAAGCAAGTAGTTCCCAGGATGTAAATTAGGTCCCAAAAGCTGTTGTCCAAATCGAAGAAACAGAGAAATTAATCTGGGAGACTATCCATCATCACCGGTAATAAAGAGAGCGACATGGATGAGACAGATGATATGATTAAGGGGCTGTGGTCGTTTTAATTAACTTTTTGCTGTCCTGTAATGATCAAACTGGTCACCAGACCCGGTCAATAAGCATGTTAATATCAAACAAATAAAACCAGGGATGATTAAAAACCTCCTGGTTTATTAAATTTGAAATTCAAATGAAATTTATGCTGCAGATGCATACAGAATGCTAATAGATTTTATCTTTATTGATAGTGGATCCCACAGGTTTGCAAGAAAACAGCACACTGTCTACTCCTGTTCCTTTCCAGCGCATTAAGCTTCTTATTGGGTAGGGGAAACTTTTAATTGATGTCCGGAAACCTGAACTTCCTGTATTTCCTCCTCCTTTTCTCTGAACATCTCAATTATTACAGTACAATATTGCAAAGCAATGATCAATATCAAAACAGGTGAACTGAACTTTGCCCTCAATGGCTTAAACAGGCTGGCTTGCATCTGTCATGGGCGACATACAGTTCTTTCTCTTCCATGGTACAGGACTCAAGTGTGCTGGGGTCACTTCTCCAAAGTATGGGTGGGGGTGTCATTAAGACTAGTTCATTTAAAGTAGAAGCAAGACGGTGAGTGTTTTAACTCTGCTGTTTGATGGCTTCGTGATACAAACACTAACCACCTCATGGGGGAGGGGGAGAAAGGAAGCCGAAGGAGAAAGAAGCCCTTTGACAAGCCCCTCACTTTAAGTGGGAGTAAGTGGAATGTGTAAATCTTGATGTGTGTGTGTATACTATATATTATCGACACACTGATATATATTTCTAATGAAAGCTGCACACACACACCTTTGCAAAGCCCCCAAAGCTGAAAGCAAACCTCATGCAAATTGAAGAATCTAGTATTTTCACTAATTCACACCAACATTGTGACTCATTGTCATAGGAAGAATGACATGTGATTCTAAAATGCATTTATACAAATGAAATATCTTAGAGTTAGCTTAAAATTGAGTAGCTCAAAATTGCAGTCACGTGATGCTGAGTTTTTCTGAATTCCTGGCAGTTTTGAGGAAACAGTAGTTAACGCCTCTGTTTACTCTCATGCTCAGCATTTAACTTTTTAAGTCTTGCCTCTTTCCCTTCCAGAAGATAGGAGGATAAAAAGATAAAATAACTATTCATAAGAAGGAGTCTTCCTTCAAAGCGCTTCCCTCCACCTTTGAGGATGATGGTATTGATTAAAGTTAAACCCCAAATTTGAACAACTGTATATTAGGTTCTTAAAATGAATATCATTATAGGAGGAGACCAAAGCAATGAAGTTAATTCTCTTTTATTTGCTAAACGGAGTTCCCTCCTTCCCCCACCCCTTACTCCTTCTGGGCTGGCCTGTCACGCCTTCTCAACACGCTAAAATCATTCAGAGGGGCTTGCAGGGAGAAACACGACATTTATGGTAAGCATCAGCCTTCAGAGAAAGAAAGCAGTTCATTAATTTACTTCACACTTACTTCAAAGTATGTGGATGTCCCTTACTCCCTTAATCAATAGATATGATGTGCAGTCAATACCCACACATGAAAAAAGGCTCAGAAATGCAAACTCGTGCATCACAAACATCAGCCTCAACAGTGCAGGTGAAACTTACACAAAACGATGAAGCCTGATCTGGACTTCAGCAAAACCCAGGGGCATTTTTTTTTTTTTTTTTTTTTTTTTTTTTTACGTCTTCAGAAGCTGCAGTACATTTGAGAACAACAATGGAGAGAGAGAGAGAGAGAGAGAGAGAGAGAGAGAGAGAGAGAGAGAGAGAGAGAGAGAGACAGAGAGAGAGAGACAGAGACAGAGACAGAGAGAGACAGAGAGAGACAGAGAGGGAGAGAGAGAAACACAGAGACACAGAGAGACACACAGAGAGAGACAGAGAGAGGGAGGGAGAGAGATCTCCAAAGTCAAAACAGAGCAGTTCTCTCGTGTACTCACGTTTTAATCAATTCCCCCTTAAAATTCGACTACTGGGAGTTTTCATGACCAGGTGAAATAGGAATTACTGTGGTTTTTAAAAGCATGAATATTCAACAGGATTCCATGGACTGGATTTCCCCTTATTTTGGTGTTGGCTTTTTTGTGGTTTAAGAAGTTCGGTTGTGGTGACTAGAGAACTGTAATGACATTTCTGAAGGCAATTAATAATAAAAACAGCAAGCAAGTGACTAAAACGCAGCGAATTTGAAGTAAGTGCACATGATGACTCGAACACACTCATAGATGGTCTGCTGAAACCACAGATGCCTCCCTAATGTAGCCCAAGCTTTGTCAAAAGCTCACATCCATTCTTACATAAATGGAACCAACAGATTTCGGTCACTCTGATTTTTCTGTCAGAAAGGCACAGTGGGGTTTCCTGTGAAAACTTCTAAATTGGGTAAAATGCTCCTCAATTTCTCATCCAATGGGGGAAAAACACACCCCCTTTTACTCCCCTCACCATCTAATCCTTTTGTAATTTTACTGCACGCCACGGGGCAAACACACCTCCTCCAGGACGTACGTTTCCAAAGCCGAGTCCCACCTCGGAAAAGGGAGTAAGGGGTGACCAGATCAAAGTAACGATTCTAAGGCGCAGGTTCACACATGCCCCACATCACCACCCCCTCGCCTCCCCAAACTTTCAATCTTTCTGTTTGGATGAAACATCAGGAAATGGAAGGTAAGCATCAAGATTTTCTTCAAAACTATATTGACAGACTCCAGGAAGGCAAGAAACAGAAAAAAAAATCACTCCATCTTTTATGTTCAAGGAGGCAGAGGAAGTTAGTAACTGAGGTAGGGTTTGGGAATATTTATTTTCCCGGCCTCACTCAACTTCGCAGTCAGTTTCTCCAGATCGTCAATCTCTTATGCACGTACTTTATTGTATTGTTCCTGTTCCCCACCCCCAGTTTTGGTGCGCGCGCGCACGCACACACCCCTCTTCCCTCTCGATCGCGCGCACCCAGGCGCGCACCCACCCTCCACCTACACTTAATACGCGCGCACGTCTCTCCCCACCCGGGATTGAACGCACTGTCGCTCCCGGCTCGCTAGGCTAGAGGGACAAAGTTACCTTACACACTTCCCAGCTCGGTCCCCTGACCCTCTTTGTCACACACTCAGTTATCCCCCACACTCTCCCAGTGGTTGCACGACCTTTGCTTGCCCCTGCTGGGCCACGTCCTTGCGACCCTGCCCCAGCCACCCCTCCGTTCGTTCTCTGCACTGCTCTCTCTGTGGTGGGGCACACTCGCGACCACTTTACACGCGCGTGCGCGCACACACACTCTGCGACACTCGCACACCCCTCCCGCCGGCGCCGATGACCTCACGGCGCGCGCGCGGCGCGGCCCGGCGAGGCCGCAGATTGGTTGGCCGCGCCTCCGCGGCACTTCAAAGCCGGAGAGGGAGCTACAATTGTGGCGGAATGGGCGGAACTGATCATTGTATTGCACACCTCTAAAAAAAACACTGCCTCTGATTTATCAATATAAAAAAGATCCTCTGAGAGGAGGAGGGCGCTTCTGTGTGATGGCAACTTCACTTCTAGGGGTGAGTCTCAGGATCTTCTCTCGCTGGTTTAATTAGTTTCCTTTTATTACCGATCGGAGGGGGTTAAAGTCACCCCGGCCAGGCCACGGGCTATCAGTCTCTCTATTGAGAGCCCCCCCCCCCCTTAAGTACAAGTGAGTTTAGAGAAAAGAAAGAGGGGGGAGAGGAGGCAGAGCCACTTTTTTTCAGCACAGGAAAGGTTCGTAGGGCATTGAGACCCGCCACCTCGCAGCGCCGGGCCGCTCCCTGCCCGGGAGACTTGCGCGTAGCCCCTAATACACTCTACGATTTCGAGAGGGAACGCGAGAAAGTTTTCCCCTCCTGGGCATACTGCGGATTCTTCCCCTTCCCCTTAAAATTTTTTCCTCAGCCCACCTTGTATTGCAGGTACGTTGAACTCATCTTATTTCTACCATTTTAGATGTACTTAAAAAGAAAGAAAGAAAGAAAACTAAAAGAAAGGTTGGAAAAGCGAGTAAGCCTTACAGTTTGGCCTCTTTGGGCCCGGGAGAAGCAACCAAGGATGGGTTGAGGGGGACCTGAACAGGATTTTCAAAGCTGTCTCTGGATTGCAGAGTAGCGATTTTGAATGCAATCCAGTGATTTCCCCAGGTAGTACGGCAGAGGAAACTTCTCCCGCCCCAGTCTGGACTTTCTGTTCGTTTGATCAAAAGCGTCTAGGGCTTTGTGCACACGAGAGTGTTGTCTTAGGTGAGAATTCTTGTTAAACTCTTCTTTAGCGTGGCGCTTTGCTCCGGAATCAGACGCCCGCAGCCAAACTTGTCCCTTCCTGTAGAGTAGGAGGCAGCCGGGCACCGGGGCAGCTGAGGGTGTCAGGTGAGTTGGTGGTGGCGTGCGGCAGCAAGAGAAGGGGAGCAGTGGGGCGTCTAGAGGCTACTGGGGGACTAATGCACATTTCTTTCCTCCCTCCCCCACCGGCCCTTTGCCCACCACCCCTCCCCCACCCCTCTTCTCCTCTCCGGGTCTCAGGAAGAACCGAGGTTGGGATCCACTCCTCTGGCCATGCTTGCTGCTACCTGTAATAAGATCGGCAGCCCCAGTCCGTCTCCCTCCTCCCTGTCGGACAGCTCTTCTTCCTTCGGTAAAGGCTTCCACCCCTGGAAACGCTCTTCGTCCTCCTCCTCCAGCAGCTGCAACGTAGTGGGTTCCAGTCTCTCCAGCTTCGGCGTGTCTGGGGCCTCCCGGAACGGCGGCTCGTCCTCGGCCGCAGCGGCGGCGGCGGCGGCGGCAGCAGCGGCCGCGGCCCTGGTGTCCGACTCGTTTAGCTGCGGCGGCTCTCCGGGCTCCAGCGCCTTCTCCCTCACCTCCAGCAGCGCCGCCGCCGCGGCCGCAGCAGCGGCAGCCGCGGCCTCCAGCTCGCCCTTCGCCAACGACTACTCCGTGTTCCAGGCCCCGGGCGTCTCGGGGGGCAGCGGCGGCGGCGGCGGGGGTGGTGGCGGCGGTTCCGGGGCACACTCGCAGGACGGTTCCCATCAGCCGGTGTTCATCTCCAAGGTGCACACGTCGGTGGACGGGCTGCAGGGCATCTACCCACGCGTGGGCATGGCGCATCCGTACGAATCGTGGTTCAAGCCCTCGCACCCGGGCCTGGGCGCCGCGGGCGACGTGGGCTCCGCGGGCGCCTCCAGCTGGTGGGACGTGGGCGCTGGCTGGATCGACGTGCAGAACCCCAACGGGGCGGCTGCGCTGCCTGGCTCGCTGCACCCGGCCGCCGGGGGTCTTCAAACGTCGCTGCACTCGCCGCTCGGAGGCTATAACTCGGATTACTCGGGCCTGAGCCACTCGGCTTTCAGCAGTGGTGCCTCGTCTCACCTGCTCAGCCCGGCGGGCCAGCACCTCATGGACGGCTTCAAGCCAGTACTGCCCGGCTCCTACCCCGATTCGGCCCCGTCGCCGCTGGCCGGCGCCGGAAGCTCCATGCTGAGCGCGGGGCCCGCAGCGCCGCTGGGGGGCTCCCCACGCTCTTCCGCGCGCCGCTACTCGGGCCGCGCCACCTGCGATTGCCCCAACTGCCAGGAGGCTGAGCGGCTGGGCCCCGCGGGGGCGAGCCTGCGGCGCAAGGGGCTGCACAGCTGCCACATCCCGGGCTGCGGCAAGGTGTACGGCAAGACGTCGCACCTGAAGGCGCACCTGCGCTGGCACACGGGCGAGCGGCCGTTCGTGTGCAACTGGCTGTTCTGCGGCAAGCGCTTCACGCGCTCTGACGAGCTGCAGCGGCACCTGCGGACCCACACGGGCGAGAAGCGCTTCGCCTGCCCGGTGTGCAACAAGCGCTTCATGCGCAGCGACCACCTGAGCAAGCATGTGAAGACGCACAGTGGCGGCGGCGGCTCGGCGGGCTCCAGCGGCGGCAAGAAAGGCAGCGACACCGATAGCGAGCACAGCGCGGCGGGCAGCCCGCCTTGCCACTCCCCCGAGCTGCTGCAGACCCCGGAACCCGGCCACCGCAACGGCCTGGAGTGACTGTTCCGCAGCCTCCCACCTGGGTCCTGTCTGGCTTGTATGCCTGGCCTGGGCTCCAGTGTCGGCTCACTGTCTCGCGCTCTCTCCCCGACTCCCTGTCCCTCTCTCCGGCTTCCCTCTCCTACTTTATTAAAGGGATGTGGACAGTAAGTAAGCACGCACCGGTGGCTGGAGCCCTGGCTCCCTCCTGCACGGTGACAGCGAGACCGGGCGCAGTGGGAACCCGCTCCTCCAGCTCCGGGTTGGCGGAACTTTGAGGGGGCAGAAGCCTCTGGAGTTAGGACAGGATGAATGGGATGTCTGGTAGACCCCCGGCCTCTTGGGCTGCGGAAAGCGCAGTGCTCAGCCAGCTTGAGCAGGAGCTGTGGGGAGGCAGAGGCTGGAGGTCAGGCAAGGCACTCCGGCCTGGACCCGCGAGCGCGCCCCTTGGGCAGCTGTCCCACTTTGAGCACTACCCTGCGCGCAGGCCTGCTACACCCTGACCGGGTGAGCAGAATTTAGCTCTTCCAGCTCAGCTCTGCCTAGTTCTTTGTGCCCTGCGGGTGAACCGCTGCGAGTCCTGTGAAGGGGAATCAATGCCGCTACCGTCTTTCATCTTTGTGACTTTTTTTTTTTAACTGAAAAAATGAGAGGAAAAAATAAACAAGCAACCTTCCTCTTAGCTTCCGGTTTAGATAATTTTCCTCTGCCTGTGAGCACGTCTTTCTCTCCAAACTGCTAATATTGATTCCAAAGTTATTTTGATCGCAGTAACTTATGGGGTGGGGGTGGGAGTGAGGGTAGGTGTCTTTTTCTTATGCAAAAATACCCCCTTTCCGGTGAGACCAGATTAACTATCTTCGTGTTTGTCCTTTTCTACCTCGTTTCACCATTCCCGAGCATAGTCTCCCAATCTTTTTTTTTTCTCCCCCTTTGGTTTAGTCCAATAGTCAATTTATCTAATCATTTCTGTAAATTATTGCAAGTCATTGAATATCTTAGGATTAAATTTTTTTCTTTGTGATTTAAACTCAAGTGAAGAAGCTATCGTTTATTTCAGATGAGGCTGTAGTTTAAATGCCAAAAGAGGGAAATAGGAAATAAAATTAAAATTCTTTGTAAAATATATCTGAACCTAATGGTTTGTACAACTGGAAAATCGTTCTAGATTAGTTTCCCGTTAAACATGACTCCGCCGGTGTGAGGTGTGAGGTACATTGTCCAGGAGACGATTTTGTATAGTATTTTTCTTGTACATTACTTCTGATAAATATTTGAAAATATATTGAAGTAAACTTGATTTTTTTTCTTTTTTGTCAGAAGAAAATATTAAGAGTTATTGCTGAGGTTCTGATGAGCTGCAGGTTTTTTTGAACTCAATTCTGGAGGTGCAGAGCCACACACGCACTTTCCGGGCCTAGTTTTGCTCGAATATGAATTTAGATAGGTATCAAGCTGTAACTAAGACACTATTTGATAAATGTTGGATGACATTTAATTTAATGGCGCATGTACTTATTTGCATTTGCTGGCAGTTCAGGCATAGTTAAAGTGAGAGTTCTATACTTCATAATAACGGGGTCTGCCAAACCCATGTATTAAATAAATTGTCCAAGTGATACTCGACTAACTTTGGCCTTTGTGTATTTCCTGAAGGTGATATTGTTAACTGTTGACAAACACTCCTGACACTACATTTAAGTGTTGTTTGCAGAGTCTGCAAACTAACTATTCATTGTAATGTTGAAATAATTTGGATATTTCACATTGAAATGAAAAGCCTTTCTCTGGAACATTTTAGACTTGCATTTTAAATGCATGAAATGTAATTGATTTATTTGTAATATTTTAAATGGTATTAATAAACTCAGATAAAAGACTAGGTCAGTTAATTTGTATTTTTTTCCCCTTTGAAAACTATGGGCATTTACATTTTATCTTCAGTTTTAATGTCTAATTTAAACAAAATATGACCCTGGTTTTTTTTGGTAATATTTAAATATTTGCCTTTAAGATAATATGTAGATGGAAGGTCTATTTGGCAAAGCTGTGTTTTCTTTGTTTACCAAGATAAAGATTATAGTGTCTAAGATATGTAATTAATTATTTACCATTAGATTTAGCTCATAGCATCAGGATTTATTGACCTCTTAAAACTTTCGAAGTAATTCACCAAGCAATTCAAAGAAATTTCATGTTGTTGCTTCCTTCTCAGTCTTTAGAAGGCCTCAGGTTGTTGGCCCTTGGTTGCATTTAGTATTTAAAAGGCCGAGACTTAACATGAAAGATCAATACATCTAAAATAAAAGCTTCGTTTAGGGATAACTTCTGTTGTTAGGAGGCAGAAGGGGTCAAGCTAACAAAAGCTTGTTTTTTGGCATTCTGTGTCTTAGCTAAAGATTCTGCAGAGGTAAATATCAGTAGATTCCTGTTGAAATGAGTTATCTGTTCTTTAAAAGTCTCTAAACAGCCACCAAAGAAAAGGAAGGTTAAACCTTAATCTATCTACGAGGCTATTGTTCAAAGGTGTCAATGATGCCAATAAAAAACATTGTCTTGTTATGTCTAAGTGCATTTAAGCAATGGGTGTTCCTTGAGCCATACTTTGAAACATAATATACTTTAAATGTTGATTGATGTTATATCAAACTATTTCACTATTAGATTAATATTATTTTGAATCAAACTGAATAAAAAGTTAGTGTGTTGAGATTCTAATAAGTTTAGCTTCTTTCTTTCTGTTTGCATGCTCCTCACACTCAGTTCAGTCTTGGTAATTGTCTTGAATTGAAAATTTTTCATTGAAATGTATGTAAAGAAACAAGAAACAAATGACAAATGCAGGGGATTATAAATCCTATATAAAGTCTGGGCATAAGTGATCAGATTTGTAGTTCAATATGTTGTGTAATAATACTGTTGGTGCCCAATCAGCAGACAGTCTTCATCCAGCTGTCCGCTCTATACTCACACTCAGGCCATTATGGTTATAGATAAACAAGTTATTTTGATATTTTGGAATATTGTGGCTCTAAGAAATGGTTACTAAGAAAAATAAAATAGTTTCTGTCACTTTTTTCCTAGGCATAATGCAGAACACAGTTTAAGTGTTTCTTTTTTGTTGAAACTTGCAGCAGCTGGGGGATGCGGAGAGGCCAGTTCTACAGTTAATGTAGAGGCAGGTAAGAGGACAGCTGCTTGGTACATTCATAAGAATGAATATTTGACTTGAGAGGTGGATTGTCTGGAAGATGATTTCTCTGAGGTGCAGAAAACAGGACTTACTTTTGTCTTGTAGGTGTGCAAACTTTCACTTTCTTCGACTTCCCTCAGTCTAGCTTGGCTTTAGTTTAGTTTTGTTTTGTTTTATGGGCATGGAGCAGTATTTCTAACTTAGTTTAACACAGAGTGGGTAGAGTCCCCTTTGGAGGCTGAACATCATGTCTCTTTGGGGAGTGAGGAAGAGAAACACAAAAGGGAGTCTCTTCTGTGTACTCTGATAATGGCTAGAAACTCACTCCCGTGAAGCCAGAGTGGCTGTCACTTTGAACCAAAGGACAAGCTTCCGGGCTTGCAGATCAAGGTAGAGTCAAACTAGCTGTTGACCCAGAGGTCAGGCCTGCATGTATCAGCCCATCCTCCCGAGACTGGGAAGGCACTGTCCCCCTCCCCAAGGGCTGGTGCTATCCAGCCCTCCCAGTTCCTCCCTCAACCCTTCCCCAAGCTGGAGTCTGAACTTCCCCATCTTGCTTTTTCCCTGGCTTCTTTATCGCCTTTTTAGATGAGCTTGTTCACTTAGGTCTGTGACTGATTTGGTGAAGCTGGACTGTCAGCTAAGATATGTTATGCAGGAAAGCTAATTTAAATCAATGTGATAGTTGGTCTCCCACAGGAGAGATACTGGAGAACGTTCCTGGGTAGGCTTGTCTCTCCACTGCCCTGTTCCCCTAGTCTTGGCATAACTTCTCAACTGGGCTTCTTAGCTAGGGAACCTACAGCTAAGTGCAGAAGCAGGCAAAAAGCGGGGATTCCTGCTTCTTAAGAAGATTGGTCTACCATTCACATTGTTGTCTCCCGGTGAATCTTTTCGGCAGGTTACTGAATGGAAAAATTTATTGAAAATAAATGTTTTATTTGTTATAGAAGATTATCTCACAAGTCAGAGGATGGGGGGCGGAGCTGGTAAATTAAAGCAAAAACATATAGGGGAAAACCGTAGATTTAAATATTCCCAGACTGCCTAAGATAGCAGAGATAAATTTTACTCATTTGTTTTTCACAGAAATGAGGTATTGATTTGATCCCAGTATTTTTGAATAAAGAATGGTTTTAAAATTTTCTGCCTTAAAAAAATGCTTGCGTCCAAGCAGGCATTTCTATTTCATCCCCCCCTCTGCCTCCATCACTAACTACAGGTTCGGGTTCTCTATTTTTTTTTTTTGCTTCCCCCCCCCCCCCCGCCCCCATTCCCCGATCTCCACCTCCACGATTCTCTTCCAAAATAGCCTTAAAATTCTACGACTGACTTTGGAGAAGAGATGTTGTGTAAGAGGGTAATGCAGTACTCTTCAGATTCATGCCGCAGTTCTCTGAGGTCATCCTCCAAAGGCTTTGCACAATGGTTGCTGTTATTTAAAAACTAAGATGCAGAGCTTGCTTGCGCCCTTATTTCCTGCTTCCGGATTAGGGGAAAGCCAGTAATCCCTGGGTGTCCTGGACCTCAGCCCCCTGGTTCCTGGGGAAGAGCGAGAGGCCACCCTGTAGACTCTCCCTGGGAACTGAACTTTGATTCGCGGCTTCAGGAGGGAGGGAAGGATTTTATTTTAGTCCCTGGACGCGTGTTTAATTTAATTTAATTATCTCTTGAATCTCTTGGCGTCAGGGAAACAGCCTTCTACATTGGCTTTGGTTCCTAAGGAGACTCCTAGAACCCTGGGGATAGCCAGGAGGGCTTGGAGTCACCTAACCCTAGGCATAATGCGTTCGTTACAAACATGTCCCTTAACGTTAGTTTTAAAGCTATCTTTTAAAGCTCGTATACTTGGGTTCTTGTTTGAAATCCACTTCCCAGTCTGGCTGCTCAGGCCGTAAGTTCTGCTGAAGGCTCACTGGAAGTGAGGGACCTGTGCTTTGCTGAGGTGTCCCCTCCGGCCCCTAGTTTCTACGGTTCTCTGAAAACTAACCGGTGGAGCCGGGGAGGAGTTCCCAGCCCTTCTCTCCAGCACCCAAGGCTCGGCTTGGCCTCTTCCATGTGCAGGCAGCTGTCGGGAAGATTGCCCAGCCGGCCCGGGAAGGTTGCACCGGCGCCGGCTGCTCCGGAAGCCTAGGGTGTCGGTGGCCGTTCTGCCGGGACCCTCGGCGCCCGGCGCACACAAAGGCTCCGCGGCCGCCTGAGCCTTCTGTGCGGACATCGAGCGCCACCCTGTGCCCCGAGGCCGCTCTGCAGAGCGGGGCCTGCAGCTCTCCAGTCTGATCTTGGGCTCCAGCATCACCCCACTCCCCACACGAAAACCGCACTGCCACTAAGTCTGGCTCAATGAGAAAATTTGCTGCACTTTTTTTGGCTTTGGGAGTCGGTTTAGCCGTCCAGGAGAGAAAAGATTTGGTAGGAAGGTACAGACTCATGGTACCTTGAGCAGAACTGAACTTTTCTTAAAGCCTTGTGCCTAAAACTCAACCACCCCTTTATTTCTTGCTTTCTCTCTCTCTCTGCTCTCCCACTTCTATTCTTTGGGCCTCTCGGTGCCGGGGTGGGGGTGGGGGGCGGGGAATGCGACCAATCTTCTTCAGGCTATATCTTGGTGATATTTGAAAGGACCAGGGAGAGGAAGATCAACTGCTTTGAAAGAGCCCTCTAAAGGTCTTCATTTGGAGAAAGTACCTGCAGCGTGCAAGCTGTCTGAGGAAGGAGGCTGGCATTTAGCAAAACTCTTTCCACCCTGAACTCTAGTAGGCTTCTCTAGGCCCTAGGCCAACAGGTAACTGGGATCCACTTTGTATCCTTGAGATTGGTCAAGGATCAAATTTGGCCATTATTGATGGCTCACAAGCATGATCTGTACTGGTGTGAGGTACTCTCAGACTGAGGCCTGGCGGAAACTCTTCTTAAGCACTAACAGGGCACTCTCAGGGATGCACACCTGTGCAAGACAGGGCTCTCAAAGTTACTCCTGTGTTTAAAACCCTTATTTCCATCAACTCCACACTTACAGTGGAGAAGAAAAGAGGTTCTTTATTTGGTGTGTAGTGTGCCCAACGAAGGCAAAGCAAAGCGCGGTGGCCACCAGCAGCTCTAGAACATAATTGACAAGTCCCCCTACGGAGCACCAGCCTCCTCCCTAAAACCAGCTGGTGGTGCAAGCCCCCCACCCCCACCCCCAGTCCGGAAAGCCAGGAAGCTCTGGAATGCGTTCTCTCACCCTATTGTGCCTAGGTGTTGCAAACCAGTGAAGGACAGAGCTTCCTGCTTTGATCTCATGGCCCTGCCACTCTGTAGCACAGAGGGGTGAGTTTAAATTAAATTTCTTTCTCTGCTGATAAGTTCTAATGGGCCTCAGAAGGTGAATAATTATGCAGTAACATTTCATGGGTTGTTGGAGTGGGAATTCCCACCGCGCTGTCACCAGGAACAGAATGCTCAATGCTAAATGAAGCTTCGCAAGTAAGCCACAAGTGTCTTTCAAATCCCCCTGCCGACAATCCAGGCCATTTCTACTTTTATCTTTCTTGCCTCTGCTAAGCAGTGTCATTTTTTCCCCCTTACATTCAAGTTTTTTAGTTGTGTGTGTGTGTGTGTGTGTGTGTGTGTGTGTGTGTGTGTGTGTGTGACTTTAAACAAATATTGGAAACAATCAATACTTAAAAGATCGTATTTTTGAGGAA